TCATAGAGATCCACCTGTTTCTGCTTCCCAAGTGCCGGGCTTAGATTTGTATACCACCACACCTGTTTCAGCTTTGTTTATTTTATTTCTTGTATGTATGTGTGTTTGTTCAGACCACAGAGCCGTGAAGGTCAGAGAACAAAGTCATTTCCCCCTTTTACATTTCCCCTTTTACCGTGGGAGTTCCAGGAATCATCAGACTTGTGGGCTGTCACCTTTATCTGCTAAGCCTACTCACTGGCCCACAGGGGACACTTCTATAAAATATCTGTTATCTTTCCTCCTGTCTGTAAATAGTCCCATAGAGCTTTCTAGAATAATGTAAAGTGACACTTGTGCTGGTCATTTCTGAGTGGTGACATTGGGGTCAAAATTATTTAAAGTGTACATATAGTTTTTTTATACAGTCTAGCAGGTTGACCCCCACAGAGCTGAGTTACAGATGTGTGTTACCACACCAGGCTTTTTACGTGGGTGCTAAGAATCTGAACTCATGCTGGGCGGTGGTGACGCACACCTTTAATCCCAGCACTTGGGAGGCAGAGGCAGGTGAATTTCTGAGTTCAAGAGTTCGAGGCTAGCCTGGTCTACAGAGTGAGTTCCAGGACAGCCAGAGCTACACAGAGAAACCCTGTCTCAAACCCCCCCCCCCAAAAAAAAAAGAAAAAAAAAAGAATCTGAACTCAGATCCCCATGTTTGCACGGCAGGCACTGTGAAGACTGGGCCTGTTCCCAATTCTTTTTCTAGTATTTCATGGACTCTTTAGCTATATACATGCCGGGGAGAATAAAGACCTCATTTCCCAGCTCTGGGTAATGGAATGTAAGCAGAAGTACCTCTGTGGCAGCCGCTGGAATCATTTGAGACTGTTTATTCATTTCCCCTGTACCTTCTCCATTCCTTTTCGCTACCTGGTTCACTGACACAGTGTCACCACCACACTGGACCACAAGGGCAAAGCCATGGATAGCAACAACAGTGTGGAAGAGTCAGCTAAGCACTAGACTATCCTGGACAACATAAGAAAGAAGGGAGGGGGATTTAATGTCACTGAAGTGACTGATTTTTAATTTAATTTTATTTTTTGGTTTTTTAAGACAGGGTTTCTCTTTGTAGCCCTGACTGTCCTGGAACTCACTCTGTAGACCAGGTTGGCCTCGAACTCAGAAATCCGCCTGTCTCTGCCTCCCAAGTGCTGGGATTAAAGGCGTGCGCCACCACCACATGGCTGAAGTGACTGATCTAATTCTAACTGGCATGTGACCTACACATTTACAGAACTGTAGTTTGTAATTCCATTTACATTGTATGTCAGCACAGTATATGAAGCAATTGGCTTGGCTTACTCTTAGCCATATCACCTAACTTTGACAAAAATACTTTCATAGGAAAATATCAAGTTGGGTATGAGGGAGGGGCTAGGGGAGATCACGCTTGTAAGCTAGCACTCAAGAGACTGAGGCACAGGATGGCTGCAAGTATCAGGCCAGCCTGGGAAAGCAAAAGGTCAGGGAGGTGGCTCATCAGTTCAAGTATGAGGACCTGTGTTCAGATCCCCAGCACCTATATGAAAAGCCTGGTGTGTCGAGTGGATCCCAGAGGCTCACTGGATGGTCAGGTCTAGTGGAAAAGGGAGAGACCTTGCCTCAAACAAACAAACAAACAAAAAAGTGGGGAAGAGATCAAATCTCTAGAGTTCATCTGTACACATATGTGCATATGCATCACAACACACACACACACACACATACACACACACACACACACACACACACAGAGGGAGTTTGAAGCCAGCCTTGGTTCCCCCTGAAATCTAAGCACTTAAGGGGACACAGAGGAAGGAGGATCACCACCAACTTTAAGCCTAATTTATTCTACAAAAGCCAGGACAACATGGTGAGACCCAGTCTCCCCCCCCCCATATATAAGTAAAACAACAAAAGAAAATAAAATACAAACAGAACTTTAAAAAAACAAAGTTAGTAAATCCACTACAAGAAGTCTGTGGGCTCAGCAGTTACTAGAGTACAGCTGGTCAGCCCTGGCGCTGAGGGATGGAACACAGGGCCTTCCTTCTGCTACCCAAGTGCCCTACCACTCAGACACACCTCAGCCTCCCACCCTTTGAACATTTTATGAACTTGAGATAAAGATCGAGAACTTGTTTTACAACCCTTCCCCACCACTGCTGGGGAGCAAGCCCAGGGGCCTTGTTCCTGTGAGTCAGGCAACCCCTCCAGAGATACATTCCAGGCTTTCTATTAAAGGATAAAAATGAAAGTCATAACAGAAGTAACAGGAGAACCATGAAAAATTGGACCATCTATGCAACAAAAGAAATGACAAACTATCAACGGACACAAGAGAAGCAAGAGGCCAGGAAGGCCCTGTTTCCTGCGGTGAGCTCTCCTTGTTTAGATTCCCGCTGGCTCTGCATATGGGGTGGGGAGGGACTGGGGTCAGGGCAGGGTGGGGTAGAGAGTGGTATAGTTTGCTTTCTCTGGGGACAATGCTCCTCAGGCAACCAAAAGCTCTGAGGACTTCCTCCCGGGACTTCTTAGCCTTTGATCATGTGACTTTGGGACCAGCTTGCCCTAGCTGTATCCTTGGTTGTGTATAAGGACCACATGGAATGCTGCTGTAGAAAATCCTTTGAAAAGATCAGTCTACTCACCTGTCAGTCCCCACAGACAATCCTTACTCCTTCAGAGGCAAAACCACAGTGAACAAAGTAACACTCACAATATGAGAAATCGGAGGCTTGGAGAGGAGGAGAAAGTTTCCTAGAGGAGTGGACATGTCTTAAGAGAGGAAAATCACCTGTCTCCCTGGTGTGTGTGTGTGTGTGTGTGTGTGTGTGTGTGTGTGTGTGCCCAAGGAGGCTAGAGGCATCAGACACCCCTGGATCTGGAGTTTCAGGCTGTTGTAAGCTGTCTCAGGATTTGGAGGTTGGAAACCACATATGGGTCTTCTAAAAGACTGCTGAGCCATCTCTCCATCCCTTCCTCCTTTTGTTTTGAGACAGGATCTGTCTGGCTGGGATTAAAGGTGAATGCCACCACACCAAACTAAGAGGATGTTTTGAAATAGTGCTCAAGTAGAAATGAAAGACCATTTAAAGGGTAGTTTAAGGCCAAGGAGGGGTGAGAAAGAAAAAGGCAACAGAGAGAAACTTCTTGCACGTTACCTTGCAGCAACTGTTTCAGATGATGAAATCCTCAACTATGCATGCACTCCACTGGGTCAGCCATTGCAGGCTAGAGGAGACACTAATGAACAATGCATTTCAATCATAATCTAAAGCCCCTTGCTTACTTTATTTTCAGAGAACAACTCGAGGAACTCAGTTCTCTCCATTACATAGATCCCAGGGAGGGATTGAACTCAGGTCATCAGATTTGGTGGCAAGCAACTTTACCCACTGAGCCCTCTTGCTGGCCCATCGATACATACAATCAGAAGAGTAGGTGAGGTTAAGAAGCTGGGTGTGGGGTGTGGTTCAAACACGAAAGTTTGCCATTGATCCACATCTCCACTCTAACCACTGTACTGTGACCTCCAGGTTTTTGTTTGTTTATTTTGGGGGTGTTTTGTTTCTTTTGTTTGTTTGTTTGTTTTTCGTTTTTTGAGACAGTCTCTTCTATCCCAGGCTGGCCTCAAGTTTGTTTTATAGTGGAGAATGACCTTGAACTCTGAATTGTCCTGCCTCTAACTTCTACTAGGATTATAAATGTGCCCCTCATTATCTGGCTTATGCAGCGCCGGTGACAGAACTCAGGGCTTCCAACATGGTATCAAGCAAGCACTCTACCATATTGAGCTGCACCGCAGGAGGGTGAGGAGGCACATTTTTTGGTCCAACAGCATGGTGGAGCATTCAACAAAATAAAAACACTATAAGTACTTCCAAGGTACCTTGGAGACAAGATATTGTTTGTAAAGAAAGGGAAAAATCCCTTCAGAGAGAGAGAGGGTGAGTGGTACGGAAGCTATGGAGGGGACAGGCAGTGTTTTTCAGCACGGGGTGTGCCAAGTCCAGATGTGGTCTCCAGATACCTCCAACAGGCATACGTGTTGTTTCTCAAAAAGATATTGGGGGTAGGGTGCACGCTCGTGGGTAGTGGAGGGACAGAGACAAAGTTTGCCTTATTATCAGGGAGACCAGGGAGAAAGGCAGGGAAAGGAGGACGAGACCAGCTGGATCTTGTAGTCACTGAAAAAGACTATGGAGCCCCTTGAGACGTTTGTGCAGTTCTTTTGAGTGGTATGTTTGGCGAAGAAGATGTGCGTGCTGTGAGAACCAAGGTCCTCTCTGCATAATGACATAACTCCAAACTCGTGGGACAAGGAGGGTGAGGATCACTAGCAATATGCTACGTAGATGGTTGAGTTCCGCTTCCTAAACTGTGCATCTTTCTCCGGTTCATCATTGCGCAAGGAGCCAAAGGCTGTCTGGCAGGATGCACCGGTCCAGCCCAGGGCTCCCGCCCTAGCTCCAGCTTAGAGCATCAGGTGGGACCTATGGCATAGGCAGAAGAGTCTGAGGGGTCTCTCTCGGACCTGCAGCACATGAACCCTCCGATCGGTGGTCCCAATGCGTTTACAGGTTCCAGTAGGGACAGTCAGCTTGGAGGCAGAACCCCCAGAGCACACGTAGCACCCCTCTGTGCTATGCATTAATCCAGTTTCCCAGGGACATGCAGCAGGCCTCGGAGAGCGGCCCGGGTCCCCCAGACGTGGCAGTCCGGGCCCCCCCACCTCGCAGACTACAAGTCCCAGCAGCACCCGCAGCTAGTACCTCCCGCCAAGCCGCGGAGACCCCCCGGTCGGTCCCAGCCACGGGGAGCGTGCTGCGCTGGGGCCGAGCCGGGTAGGGAGGCCGGTCCCGCGGGCGGGGGCGGGGCCGGCTCCGCGGCTTCTCCCGCCGCCGCCGCCAAGGGGAGTTTCCAGGAAGTGGCCATATTGGATCCATTCAGCCGCAGCCGCCCGGGCGGAGCGCGTCCCGCAGCCGGCTCATCCCCGCCGCGGCCCCGGCGATCCCCGCAATCAGCCCGCCCGGTGCGCAGCTCGCCATGGCGGCCACTGACCTGGAACGCGTCTCGGTGAGGCTTGAGGCGCGCTAGGGCACGGGAGGGGGCGCGAGGCGGGCTGTCAGCACTGCCCGGCGGGGTCTCGAACCCCGGGACCTGGGAGCCAACCCCGGGAGGGTGTCTCGGAGTGTTGGGCTTCGCGCGAAGTAAGCTCCTTTCGCGGGAAGAAGCCGAGATCTGGGCTTATCAGGGCAGGTGTGAAAACTGACTCTTGTCCAGAGGGGAGGATTCCGGACGCCCCCGACTCTTCTCTCCCAGGGTGTTCCTGCACCTCTGGGGACTTGCCTTTGCCGCGTAAGGTGCTGTATGTTATCTAGGTGTAGAGAGTGAGGATGGAGCCCCAGGGATCCAGGGATTTTTCTTCCCCCAGCACAAACACACATTCCCGAAAGAGCTCAGGAGAGTTGCAGACTTTGGGTCGGAAGAACCCAGGCCCGCTGCTCATCTCCTCCACTGCCCTCCCGAGAACCTGGATCCTGGGTGCGACTCCAGACAGGTCCAGGACCTCAGTGGTAGACTCTGGCTCTGCGGCAGCCATTCCCAGGAGCTGAAGTGATTCCAGATCCAAAGCATTGAGGGTTTGTTTGGGCCCCAGTCTGGGTCTGCCTCTCTCTAGGCTGACGTCCCTTGGTGGTCCTAAGAAGGATGTCTGTGAACTTGAGCCAGGCCATAGCATGCGGAGGGAGGCCTTTTGGGGGGGTTGTCTGTACTCTCTTGGTGTCTAAGGCTGGATTTGGGTGTGTCTGAGAGGCTAGGCTGTGACGGTGAAGGAAGCTGTGTCCTCTTGCCAGCATGTGAGGCCCTGGTCGACTGGAAGGGGAGGAGGGGAAGGGAGGGAGGAGGTGGAGGAGGGCCCAGGGCTGTTGGAAGGAGGGAGAATTCTGAATGTGTGACCGATAACGAATTGGTTCTGGGGCTAAATAAGGGAGCCAGGACTTATGTAATTTTGCTATAAATACTGTCATCTGAATTTATATATGCAAATTTCTTCTTTAATCTGAAAATACATTTGTTGGTCTTTACGAATATGCATAACAAAGCCAGAGCTCTAGGTTTTGTAATGTGTAGACGGGTGTGTTCTGTGACCCCTGAGGAGGGGGCTGTGTGTCTGATAAGTAAGTTTGCTACGTGGGGAACAGAGACGCAGAGGCTGGGCCAAACCAAGGTCCACTTCACTCCCGTGGCTGTAAAATAGAATTTATGTACTGCAGGAAAACAGCTGAGCCCTTATAAACCTGCCCAGTGGATGGAGACCAAAAGGTGTGTGTGTGTGTGTGTGTGTGTGTGTGTGTGTGTGTGTGTGTGTCTGTCTGTCTGTCTATCTGTCTGAGCGCTGGGTTTTCTGTGCTTAGCTAACCAGAAGGTTAAGTCTGTTTTGTATTGAGGTCAGAGGTTTGTCTAACAGTTGATATTGTTCAGATGAGAGTATGTGTAAAGCAGCTAGCTAGCACCAGTGGCCTGAGAGGATTCCTAGAGATACCACTTGTTGGTCATGGGACCTCTGGCAAGCTGTTTAACCCTCGGTGTTCTCATTTACACAGTAAGAGAAAAGCATATGTCCCTCATAGAGTTGTGTGGATAAGGACTCAGTAAATACCCAGCCATGTGTGAGATGGCTGCAGAAAATGTCTTTGCCATGGTCCCACGGTGGCCAGAGATATCCTCAGAGGGCCAGCTGAGCGTCTACATTGTACAGCTGCTGCTTGGGAAGATCTTGCTTCTGTTTACTTTTGAATCATTTCTGTAGGAAGTCTTCATATTATCCCCATAGTGAACCAAAGCACAGAGTGGGGACTCAAGTCCAGCTAACCCCGGAATCTTGGGGCCTTGCTCAGTATGATGGTTATGCCAGAGGGATGGATGCCTTCCCGGCCCTCTGCACTCTGGGCCATCAGCCTCCTGGGAGGACTTGGATGGAATTGAATTTGGGTGGAGATGTTGGGTGGAGTTTGGCTGGAATTTAGTACTCTGGTCTCTTTCTTCCCTTCCTTATCTTCCTGGGAAGGTAATTTCCTCCCTTACCAGTGCAAAGCGGTACTGATTCCTTAAAGAGTTTTTTGAAGGTTATCTGTAGTTTTTGGCTTATTGGAAGCATGTTGGATATTTTTCCAGCTGCAAGGTTTGGTGGCACGTTTGGCAGGTATCAACTGCACCTCTGGCTTGTGCAAAGGTGGTCAGACGGGCCCCTGATGACCTGTAAACTGCCTTAGTCTGGAGTCTACAAGATCACACAGAAGACTTTGGGCTGTAGCTTGGGGTGGAGAGCTTACTTGTGTAGGAAGTCCTGGGTTCAACCACCTGTGCTGCCTAGATTTTAAAATGAACTCACACAGCAATGTGCTTTGAGATGAAGGTGTGTTGGTATCTCTTTTTGTTTTTGAGTTGGGGTCTCTCTACATAGTCCTGGCTGTCTGGATCCCACTATGTAGACAAGGCTGGCCCTGAACTCACAGAGATCTACCAGCCTCTGTCTCTCAAGTGCTGTGTCACACCTGACAGTGTGTTGGTATTTTGACTTATCCTTACCAGCATGGTATATACACATAGGCCTATATTATATTCTATTTGTTTGTTGTGCGTATCTGAGTATGTATGTATGTATGTATGTATGTATGTATGTATGTATGTGGGTATGCTTGTGTGATGGTGTGTGTGCTGAGGTTAGAGGACAACTTTCAAGTCCCTCATCATATGGGTCCTGGAAATGGAATTTTGGCTGTCAGATTTGACAGCAGGTACCTTCTTGCTGGCCCCACATCTCTGACTTCTGACTGGGTCCTGCTCAGCCGTAGGTCAGCTCAGAGGCTTAGGTTGATGGCTGTGCATATGTACATGGGATCAGCCCTCAGCAGGTTCTGTCATCTCTTGTCTTCCTTGGGCCATCGGACTCCTGGCACACTTTTGGGGTCCCTCTCTTCTTAGATTCTGACTCTGAGGCTCACTCTTCTCCAACCCTGACCAGCTCCTGTGACTCCTGTCTGCATCTAACGGAACCAGGTTCAGACTGCTAGGTGAGGGACCCTGTAGGTCCCAGCAAAGTGAGGATGTGCGGGGGAGAGGAAAGAAACGTGAAGCAGCCTCATACTTGGCATTCTTCCTAGCCAGCCGCTCACCCCCCATCTCCGCTTTATCCTCAGCGCCATCTGCTACATCCGTTGTCACCCTGTAATCTTGACACTTCCCCAAAAAGCATGCTATCCAAGGAGTGCCTATTCTGTCCTGAAGCGAGATGTGGGAAGCAGCCTTCTCACCCCAGTGTGGCTCAAGGGTCCTGTCCCCTAGGATCTCCCTATCCTGTGAAAATGACCTTGGCAAGCCTCTCTGGGCAGAAACGATAGCTGAGAAAAAGGTGTCTGTGTAGCTCCCAGTGCATTGAGGGGTCACATGTGAACGCCACAGCCAGAGATACAGCTCCACACCTTTCTCTAGGAGGTAGGGTTGCCTTTTCCTTCCTTCCTTCCCTACCTCACACACTAGGGGCCAACCTTACTAGGACCTTATGAGATGGACCAGAGCTATGAGTCTGGTGAGGGGTTGATGACCCAAGGAAGCATCCGAGCGTGGACTGTTTGGGACAGGAAGAAAGACGATAGCAAGAGACTGACCCCAGAGCCAAGGAGAACGCAGGGCTTGTCCTAACACTTTGGATGGGCAATGGATGTTTTGTGCTCATTGGTTTTTATGTCAGCAGGCTGAGATTGAGTGAGGAAGCAGATTTTGGTTGCAGGCCATTCAAAGATGGGCCCAATACCCAAATATATAAATACCCTTCCACCTGAGGGCCCCTTGAGGTGATTGACTTCTGAGCCCTAGGATGAACTAGGGAGTGGTCTGTGTTTGGGACAGTAACTCCCAGATGTCTTTATGACTGAAGTCCAGCTTCCTTGGGGCCATGCCCCAGAGCAAAGAAGCAAGGACCAGCTGGCCTCCAGGTGTCTCAGCTTCCTGCTTCCTGCTGCCTTTAGGGTTTTGGGACACACACCCCCCCAGCCACATCTTACAGTGCACTAGCTTTGTGGATAACCAGATGTGGAGCTGACTAGGGGGTGGGGAAACACATCTGCTTGAAGAATGGGATGTCTCCAAGAGTCAGAATGCTCTCCTGGGAGCTGGGATCCTCTCTATTAGCTTCTATAGGAGTTGTGTGCATCCTCAGGACACGTGTGAGGAAGCCTCCTTGGGAGGTGACAGCAGAGAACAGGGCAGAGAGCTTCTTGGCAATAACTACAGTTGCCTTGCTTGCCTTCAACTGGGTATTCTTAGGATGAGAAGCTTCCAGGTACATATTAGGCTTTATGAGCCAAGTTAGGTGAACAGAATCAGAGGAAGTAAGTGTCTTTCTCTGATCATGTTCTCCAGCTGTTCTTGGAGGGGCCTTCGGGTTGTGGGCCACTGGGAATCTGGGCTTTAGGGGAACTGTGAGATGGACCCAGAATTCTCAGGGACAGAGAAGACCCTTTGTCTGCTGTTGGGGTGAATGGATAGCAGAGATGAGGCATAGCTGAGCCTCCATAGCTGCCTCTGGCCATGTTGGTACAAGGACACCACTCTGGGACCTGCCAGGACCATTATCCAGCCTGTGGTGGTAAACAAGTCAGGGAGATTCGGGAACCCACATTCCCCTTCTATGGCTGGTGTTTCATTCACAAGGAAATGCTGCCTCCTTCTTTGAATGGTTGGACCACTTGTGGCTGTGCCCATTGGCAGACAGCAGTGGTTGCCCCTAGAGTCAGTCCCTAGCCAAGCGGAAAACTGGAGCTGCCGTGCCTTCTGCAGCAGAGCGCCCCATATGTGCAGTGGCTGGATGGGACATTTTTCTCTTCGGCAGCACATCAAAGCCTAAGAAAGTGTCTGCGTCCCAGGCCTCGGTGGCAGGTGGTGGGGACAGGCTCAGGAACTCCGCTCTTTTGTTTCTGGGAAACCCGATTTTGGTAGATGTGTCAATCAAACCATCCCTAGTTGATGGGCTACCACTTGGCTGTAGGAAAATGAGAGTGTCCTGGACAGAGAAG